AAGCCTCGGACAACATTTTCGCTAAGGAAAAAGTTGTTTCAAATCACGTCCCGAACCACCCCTTTCAAGGTGTTACAACATTTTTAGGATACCCTGTATATACACGGTGGATGTGATTTGAAACAACTTTTTCCTCAGCGAAAATGTTGTCCGAGGCTTCGTTCGGGAGATATTAACAGAAAACCCCGGACCAATCAAAGCGCGAAGGCGGTCTACCTAGCGCGTAGTCCACGCCTACCGCGGGCGCTCTACCGCCATATCGCGCTCTGATTGGTCCGGGGTTTTCTGTTAATATCTCCTTAACGAAGCCTTGGACAACATTTTCGCTAAGGAAAAAGTTGTTTCAAATCACGTCCCGAATCATCCCTTTCAAGGACCTCCAACATTTTTCAGTCACCTTGTACATTCTTTCGCCGCCATTTTACTTATCGTAAATAATATTTCTTAACGGTCGTATTCATATCTAGAATTTAATATTTGACACTTCTGAAAATTCACCGTTAAAATGTAATTCGAACATTAATTAATTCATAAGTACGTGAATAATCAAAAATAACTTCTTTCTCGAATTTGAAATATACAATGTCAACTCGGCATATTTTATTTCGTTGTATTTTTAATATTAATTCAGATATAATTTAGAATCAGTATTTTATAAATTTTTTTGTTTATAAAATTGTAACGGGGGGATAACGCCGACCGTTAGTCGCGACCCTCTCTCTTGCGCCGTCGCGCTCTGTCTCCTTTTCCCCACCCGTTAGTCGCGACCCTCTCTCTTGCGCTGCCCTCGGTCTCTGTCCTTTCCCCCACCCATTAGTCGCGGCCCTCTCTCTCGCGCCGTCTCGCTCTGTCTCCTTTTCCCCACCCGTTAGTCGCGACCCTCTCTCTCGCGCCGCCTCGGTCTATCTCCTTTCCCCACGCGTTACTACCATCGAACGCCACTAGGTGGCCGCTGCGAGAACCAGGTTTCCGTAAACAGGATAGAGCGAAAGAGCAATAGTAACCATTGGCGTAAAATTTGAAAGTTTATATATTCAAAATGAAGCCTACGTATCACTTAAAGAATAACTATATTATTTTTCAAAACAATACCCATTACCAGTGAAATTCAAACAAAGATATTTAAACATGACCACTCCATTAATTGTACAGTATCATTTACTACAACCTCATGCACTAAATAATTAAACTATAATTAACTATAATTAAACTCAGTTTGCAAGAAACTTTCATTACCAAATATGTTTGTAAATATCACCTCGGTACAAATACGTACGTAAACGTATTCTTTATTAGTTTCATACAGAGCATTTCATAACAGAAATAGTTCAATAAAATCGTCGACGCCATTGCCACAACCTTTGCCTGTTAAACATCTAGATTGGTTCACACTTCGTAGTGATAAGCACGTTTTATAAGCACGCTCGCTGCGAAATTTTGGTAGTCGATAACGAAATCTTAGAAGAAACTCGTGTCGAAAGATGGATCTACCAGGGCTAGGAATACCTCGATCTAAGATTCTCATGGGTTTACTGTTTACCTCTTTGGCTTCCTTTTCGGCGATGGACGACCGTCCAGGCTCGTAATCCTCGATGCGTCCTGGTTGATTCTTGTAAATATCCGTGCTGTATTTCAGCGCTCCGTTTCTGAAATGCGAACGAGAAACTGTCACTGACAATTCAAACGTATCACATTTCGTATTTTTATTAGTATAAGATATTCCAGAATTAGTGTACGAACCGGAAATGGGGAGATGAGACGATTCTGAACAACAATTTCCTTTGCAAAAATGTCGAGTGACGCTTCGTTTCTGAATTATTAACGAAAAAGCATCAACCAATCACAGCGCTCGAGTTGTGCGCGCTCAGCCGCGAGAGGCTGGCTCAAGCCAGGGCGCTCCGCCCAGCTATCGGGACAGCCTATCGCAGCTGGGAGCGCGCAACTCGGGCGCTGTGATTGGTCGATGGTTTTTCGTTAATAATTCAAAAACGAAGCGTCATTCGACATTTTTGCAAAGGAAATTATTGTTCAGAATCGTCTTAGCTACTCTCCCTTTCCGGTTCTTAGACTATTTCTGGGACACCCTATATATTCATCCTTGGAATTCGATAATTATACGAGTGTATTTTCTTGTATTTATTTTAAGCTCTTTGGGAATAAAAGTGTAAACAAATTCTGATTTATGAGATCTGTCAATCTTGTTGCATTTACTTAATTGTAAATTAAATGTAAGTATTTATTCAAGATTCTGATAGATGTGACTATTAAAATAACTAAACTTGTATGTGACAGTATCCGTGAAAAGGTTATTTATTGGTACTATTATACATATCTTCTCCAATAAGTGCGTTGCACTCCAACTTTTAAATCAAGAAAATTATGTAAATATCTACATATTATTGTAATGTTATTTGAATTTTGTGATTTCTTATTTTCCATGAAATTACATGCATCATACAGTGTATTAAATGTAATTTATTTATTCACAATTCAAACTCTCTAATCAATTCTCTCTAATCAATTAAAATCAATCAAAATAACTGACTCACGAATTGACTATATTAAATGCAATTTTGATTCTTTCTTTTACTTGGATTTTCCTAAAAAGTATAAAAACATCTGTAATCTTAAATGTAATTTATTTATTTACAATAGGGGTTTCTAATCAATTCTCTCTAATCAAATTCTCTAATCAATTAATATCAATCAAAATAATTGACTGATGAATTGACTGTATTAAATGCAATTTTGATTCTTTCTTTTACTTGGATTTTCCTAAAAAGTATAAAAACATCTGTAATCTTAAATGTAATTTATATATTTACAATAGGGGTTTCTAATCAATTTTCTCTAATCAAATTCTCTAATCAATTAAAATCAATGAATATAACTGACTCATTAATTAACTATATTAAATGCAATAAAATTGATTCCTTTCTTTACGAGGATTTTCCTAAAAAGCTTAAAAATATCTGTCTTGATTCTTCTTTTGTTATCAGAGTGTATTAGCTTATCAGTAATCTACTGTCTTACTTCCTGGGCATAGTCGACGTGGAGAAATCATTTTCTTTGTTACGTAGACGTCGACGACTATCAAATGTAGCAGAACGTTCGGAGTACAAGCGGTGTTCCGGCTCGCTCAAGTATCCACTGCTGCTTCCGTAGCCGTACCTTATCCCTGCAAAACAAAATAGAGTTTGTTAGAAATAGAAATTTACAAGACTTTTTAATACGTTAGTTACCATTTTTAACTTTTTTAAACTAATTCTGCGATTCTTGTAACAAAATAGTTATCTGAGAGTAAAAGCAAAATGTAATCAACGTGAATTTTATTCAACGATAGGCTCGACTCATTTTTTAGGTTCTTTGGAAAATAAGTACTCTTGTAGTTCCTCTAGATCAATACTTTCCGATACCACTTTCGCTAATAGCTCGATAACGTCACCTACATGAAACCTAAATATGAAAACTAAATATCTGAAGAGTGCTATCAATTTCCTCCATTAAACTAAAATTTTAATTGTCTCTGTTTTTTTTTTGTTTTTTTTTGTTTTTTTTTTTTATGATACATAATCCACGAAAGTATCCTTTAATATGGTTATACTCGCGACAGATATTAGCGAACTAGAAAATTCGGAAAACATATTTTGTGATAATAAAATAAAAATAAATTAATAAGACATACATTTTTCTTAGAAAAAAAAAATAGGCAAGAACATTTAATGCATTAGGTGTAGAAATTAATTCTGTTCTTTTCTAAAGTAAACTTATCATTTAGAAAGGAAAACGATGTCATTTTAATCTTCCCTCGGTCATGTAAAAGGTGAGTAAACAAAATAGAGTTTGTTAGAAACAGAAATTTAGTTAATTACGAAAATAGAAATTAGAGTTAGAATTTAGAAAATAGAGTTATATTTAAAATAGGGTTATAAATAATTAAATGTTAAGACACAGAATTAATTTCCGCATTTAATGATTATCAAGCACGCTGGTATTCTATTGGAAGAACAGCAATGAGCAAACTTTGTGGGCTACTGAGTTTTATATGTGCATATATATACAGGGTGTCCCAAAAATGTTGGAGATCCTTGAAAAATGTGGGTCAGGAGGTGATTTGAAACAACTTTTTCCTTAGCGAAAATGTTGTCCGAGGCTTCGTTACGGAGATATTAATAGAAAACCCCGGACCAATCAGAGCGCGAGTAGGCCGGCGGAGCGGCCGCGGTAGGCGTGGACTACGCGCTAGGTAGACCGCCTTCGCGCTCTGATTGGTCCGGGGTTTTCTGTTAATATCTCCCGAACGAAGCCTCGGACAATATTTTCGCTAAGGAAAAAGTTGTTTCAAATCACCCCTCGAACCACCCCGTTCAACGATCTCCAACATTTTTGGGACACCCTGTATATTATAAGTGCATATTGAAGTGTCCGTCAGGTTGAGACTTAGATTACGTACATAAATGGAAATCTAGTGGAGATTAAGTTGAGTACTTAGAAGGTTGGTAATTAAGCCTAACAAAATGATGAGTAAATATTTGTACGTGAACTATTAGTTGTCGAAATTAATTCTGTGCCTTTATGTTCAATCATTTACATATAATTTTACGGTTACTAAAATTCATACATATAAGCATCAGGTTGAGACTAGTTTATGCGTATAGATATATTATTATAGAGATCGGGTTGAAAACTTAAAAGATTGGTAAATTAAGTGTTACGAATAACGGTTGCGAGTAATCGACAGATTTTGTTGAGTTGTCGCTAATTATTATAGACGAAGAAAATTTATTTTAATGGGCCATAAAACTGAGGATGTTTATGCAAATTCACAGTTTTATACAGAGTGTCCCAGAGGGTAGCTGAGCCGATTCTGAACAACAATTTTCTTTGCAAAAATGTTGTCCGAGGCTTCGTTAAGGAGATACTAGCAGAAAACGTCGAACCAATCAGAGCGCCCGTATCCGGCGGAGGGCGGTCGCCTAGCGCGCGTAGGCCACGCCTACCGCGGGCGCTCGACTGACATCCTCGCGCTCCGATTGGTCGGGGTTTTCTGTTAGTAACTCCCTAACGAAGCCTCGGACAACATTTTCGCTAAGGAAAAAGTTGTTTCAAATCACACAATGAACCACCTCTTTCAAGGATCTCCAACATTTTTTGGGACACAATGGAGTGTAGCTGAGACGATTCTGAAACGATAATTTCCTTTGCAAAAATGTCGGCTGGCGCTTCGTTTTTGAATTATTAACGAAAAACCACTGACCAATCACAGCGCCCGAGTAGCGCACGCTCAGTTGGCTACTCTGGAGTAGCCAGCCAATCCTGGCTCGAGTTAGCCACTCACAGATGAGCGCGCGCTACTCGGGCGCTGTGATTGGTTCATGGTATTTTTCTTAATAATTCAAAAACGTAGCCTCGTACGACATTTTTGCTACGGAAATTGTTGTTCAGAATCGTCTCAGCTACCTGTATATCAAAATGTTGAGTAAGTCTCTTATATCTGTTTATACTACAGATAAAAATAAACGAATATAAGGCACAAAATGAACTTCTACACCTAGTACATATTATATACCATGTAAATTATTAGTCAAAGACACAGCTGTAAGGTAAATTTTTAATTTTCGATTGTGAACGTTACTCCGTTCCAGGATGTTAAATAAAAGGACACTTGCACTTGAAACGTTTATTGTTACTGTCACCGCATCGACGACTAGCTTCGTTAAAATCAATCACAATTGTTATCTCGTGTTACATAAAAAGTACGGTGCGTATGACGCATGTTAGAACATCGTTTTTACATGAACGTCACTCGAATAGAACACGTATGTGTATTTGGCGCGAACAGCGTGCGAGATTGACCGAAGAAGAAGGCCATAATTGCAACATGTTAATCGTCTTGGCTAAGCTGAGTGAGTCATTAGTATTTTTGTATTGCAATTGTTTATTCAACCGTCAATCGTGTGTCGGAAAAAGTATTCACCTCGTCTTGGTTTGTAACGAATGGTTACGTAGTCATCTGAAAATGAAATTTGAAAATGAATCCTTTTGGTTTCTTTCGTCGCGACATTTACGTGTTGCCATTTACAAAATTATTCTACCTGATTCTTTTTTTTTTTTAAATAATATACAAAATGCAGATTTATAGTCATTTACAGTTACTGTATAAAATTGAAGTTGTGGATATCTTATTTTCGTGGAATAATTGACAAATAATGTTCAAGGTAGAGAAAAATCAAATTTAATTTCATCCGGTAAATTTACTTGCAGGAATGAGTAGAATAAAATATTGTTAGATAATGGAGAAAGTAAAGCGCCGAATAGGAAAGGTAGAAAATTAAATTTTTGCTTCTGGAACTTATTAAGTATTAGATTAATTTCGTCGAATGGCAACATACGAGTCGAGTGTCATTATTTAGTTTAAAAAGTTACAAAAGAATTGTCGTTCGAAGTAAAATCGTCTGGCGACATCTATGTTTCTACGATTGTACTTACATTATTGTATGTAGTACATTTTGTACGTAATAAAGAGAAATAATTAATTCAAGTTATATAGAGTGTCCCAAAAATTTTTGAAGGTCCTTGAAACGGGTTCGTGGGGTGATTTGAAACAACTTTTTCCTTTGCGAAAATGTTGTCCGAGGCTTCGTTAAAGAGATATTAACAGAAAACTCTCGACCAATCAGAGTGTGAGTGTCCCGGCGGAGGGCGGTTGCCAACGCGCGTAGCCTACGCCTACCGCGGCCTACTTGGGCTCTGATTGGTCCAGGGTTTTCTCTAAATATCTCCTTAACGAAGCCTCGGACTACATTTTCGCTAAGGAAAAAGTTGTTTCAAATCACCCTTCGGATCCCTTTCAAGTTTCTCCAACATTTTTGGGACACCCCGTATTTACTAAATTCACTAGTTTCGTAAGAATTCTATGCACCTTAGTAATTAGACTGATTATTAATAATAAAAAAAAACAACAAACATTGTCGAAAAGCTTAGTAATATTAATAATTGTTACAATTTTTAGTTCAATTCTTTTTAATTTCAAGTAAGCGTTGAAGCTATGCAATATTATTTGCCGCACAAAACTTACCGCTTCTATCAGTACGGTGCAACGAGTCATACATTTTCTTGTACCACTTTGTTTGATTATTCTCCTTGACTTCCTAAAATGTTTTTCTCGAGTCAGATACCCGCAAACATGGAAACGTTAATTCCACCCGATTTATATAGTGGAGCAATCGCGGATTATTGTTTCTAAACCGAACAAATAATAACTGAGTAATTGGCTCGAAGGATACTTTTAATTTCGTTTTATATAAAATCAATTTCGACTGAATTAAAGCTTATCTGGTTAACTTACCAATTTCTCTTGGTAAATAATAATGAATATTAATTTTGAAGGCGTTTCCAAAATATTCAAGTATAAATATTTCAATTATTTTTTGTAGATATTTATATGTATAGCTTGAATATGTGGAAGTATTTAATCCCTCGCTACGAGATATGTACACAATTTGTTAAAACTAAGAATGAGATTGAGAAGATTATTTGAAAGTAATATTATATTTTTATTTAAATATAATCTTCATGATTAGTAATGAGTTAATAATGATTGATGCTGATGACATCAATAATAATGAATAATCATGATGAATATAAATATTGGTAATAAATATAACGAAATTATGTACTAGAATTGAAATATGTAAAAAAATATAAATATACATATTCTAAAGAAGAAAAAGTATTAACGTTATCGATTTTAACGATGGATTACAGATATTATAAACATCATAATGAATATAAATATAAAGAAAGTGTGTATTTGATTTGAAATGTATATAAAAATATACCAGATGTTGGAGGAATAATTTCAAGGAAAATTTCATAATTTAAGGAATTTTCTAGGTATTATATATAAAGTATCTCAGGATTAGTGGAAGAACCGAAAATATGTTCTGAACAACAGCTGAGACTATAGTAGCTGAGTAGCTGAGACGATTCCGAACAACAATTTCCTTTGCAAAAATGTCGTGTGAGGCTTCGTTTTTGAATTATTAACGAAAAACCGCCGACCAACCGCAGCGCCCGAGTTGCGCGTGCTCAGGCGCGATAGGCTCGCTCAAGGCAAGAGGCTCGGCCCAGCTATCTGGCCAACCTATGGCGGCTGAGCGCGCGCAACTCGGGCGCTGTGATTGGTCCCTGGTTTTTCGTTAATAATTCAAAAACAAAGCCTCATCCGACATTTTTGCAAAGGAAACTATTGTTCAGAATCGTCTCAGCTACCCCCATTTCTGGTTCATACACTAATTCTGGGACACCCCGTATAAATTTAAATAAAAATTGTATGGAGGAAAGGTGAGTTTGGTATTCCAATGAAACTAGTCACAGTTAGAAATATGTTTCAAACTTTACAGTAAATGTGTTTTATATTTAATACATTATATTCTACATTTATCGTGATTATTTAATGTTTGTCATTTAGAGATGACCTCTGAGATTAAATTAAATGAGGAAAATTTAATGTACAAGAATGTTTATGTTTATAATGTTAATGAATATTATACTGTATTATTGTTACATTACCTTATGTTATATAATATTATGTAATATTACAAGATAAAATACGTAATATAATATAACATAGATATACTTGTCTCATTTCAATCCTTTGCAGTTTGTATATTTATAGATTCACTCTTTTATTTTTATAATAATATATTCATTTTTACATTATACGATTATCGCATCAAAATTCTGTTTGTACATTCTGTTATGTATCAAACAAAAATACATATATTCTCTCCCTTATAGAATAACTTTAATTTTACTATGCAATGTCTGAAACAATCTAACGTATCTATATCATAAAATTTAAATTTTTAAATAAATAGAAAATTACTTGAATCACGTGTTACTAATTAATTTGCGTTGACAAATCGGTAGCGAGGGATTAGCTACAAATTCCACAGATTATACATTGATCGAAATCTTCACGTTTTAAAGTTCGGTCAACTCGAAAACATCCTTAACTATTTACAGACCTACCGATCTCAAAACGAGGGGAATACCCTCCTTAGTCGTCGGGCCAATACCCGAGAATTTTCGAGGACCCAAATCGGCCATCTTCTTCGGCGGTTCATTATCCGTTTCCGGCTCGCTCTCGTACTCTTTCTTCACAGTGTAGACTGAGCGAACATCATTTTAAGTTTCACAATGCAGCAACCGTGGACACTCGCGGAAAGATTTAGGGAGAAAGAAAAGTGATTTCGATGGGAACGATCGATTCAATATGATAACGTGCATCGTGCCAATGAATGAATCACGAGAATACTTTTCGACGCACGAGAAAGAGATCAATTATACCGCACGGTACAGTTTGAAATTAGTCGACGTGTGGAATCACGGAGTGATTATGTACACGAATACGGTTAAATTTGAATGGTGCACAGTGAAGGTTGCAAAATATTGATAGAGTTGAATGACTCTATTCGGAGTACTCACTTATCTCTCCGGGGCTAATTAGTGGCTTTTCGTCACTCAGGGGGCGCCTCACCGTTTCGGTTTCCTCTAAGTAAGCTGCCCCTTTTGGTAATTGTCCCTCTAAAACATTAATTAAACAGAAATATATTAATGATGATGTTTAATGATACTTATTGAAATAGTAAGAAGAGAAATTTGTTGAACAGATCGATCTGCCTCCGTGAATGCGGCACTGGTCGATACTAGTGTCGAACAGCTTCGGTCCTTTGACTATACAGGGTGTTCCAAAAATGTTGTAAGACCTTGAAAGAAGTGGTTCGGGAGGTGATTTGAAACAACTTTTTCCTTAGCGAAAATGTTGTACGACGCTTCGTTGAGGAGATATTTAGAGAAAACACCGGACCAACCAGAGCGCGAGGATGCCGGCGGAAGGCGGTCGCTTAGCGCGTAGCCTACGCCTACCGCGGCCTACTTGCGCTCTGATTGGTCCGGCATTTTCCGTTAATATCTCCTCAACGAAGCCTCGGACAACATTTTCGCTAAGGAAAAAGTTGTTTCAAATCACCTCCCGAACCACCCCTTTCAAGGTGTTCCAACATTTTTGGGACACCCTGTATACCTGTTGAATCCGCAAATCGGTTGTAGGTAAAGAAGAATATAACGGAATATAATTATATATATTTATATATATTTATATATATTTAGAATTATATTGTATTATATAATTATAAATTGTAATTATATTAATTGATTTATAGTAACATATAATAAACATTTTTTCTGTATGCATCATCTATGATACTGATAAACAACTGACATTGTCAGATTTTTTTTTGTTATATAAATTGTAATTATATTAATACTGCTGTAGTATCGTATAATAAACATTTGTTATTGACGCGTTATTATTATTAGTAATACTACCAAACAACCGACATTGCTACAATATTTATATTTACAATATACTATATACTTTATCGTGTTTATGGTAGTGGCTTACCCCTTGCTTTTTGCAGCAAAGTTATGGTTGGATTTTGAGCACGAGGCAGACGGGGCGTCGATGCCAGCGAGTTTAGCCCTTGCGAAGGGGCTGAATGCGAATTAACAATTCGTGTGCTGCTCTCGTAACTACTTTCCAACGTTTCCTTCCTTCCTTCTTCAGCTTTCCAAGGTGGCGGTGTCTCTTGAGCAGTCTGCAATTGAGAAAAGGTGCATGTGCAATATCAGTAGATATTAAAAATACCAATTTGAAATATTAAAGGTGTTTGAAATGGGTCAAGAGAAATTTTAAACAAAACGAATGAAAGAAGTCATCTTTACTAACATTTTGTAGAAGAGACGTTTCGAATATTAACGTTTATAATTCTCTTTAGAGATTACAATTTGTTTATTCCTGTGGTACGATAAAGAAAATATACAGGGTGCACCAAAAATTTTGGAAGTCCTTGAAAGGGATTTGGGGGGTGATTTGAAACAATTTTTTCCTTAGCAAAAATGTTGTCCGAGGCTTCGTTGAGGAGATATTAACAGAAAACCCCGGACCAATCAGAGTGCGAGTAGGCTCCGGTAGGCGTTGGGCTACGCGCTGGGCGACCGTCCCCTGATGGCATCCTCGCGCTCTGATTGGTCGAGGATTTCTGTTAATATCCCCTTAACGAAGCCTCGGACAACATTTTTGCTTAGGAAAAAGTTATTTCAAATCACCTCCCGAACCACCCCTTACAAGGTGTTACCCTGTATACAGGGTGTCCCAAAAATGTTGTAACACCTTGAATATTTTCTCCTCGAAATTGAGCAACTTTTGATCGAAACATTTTTCGCTAACTCTTATAGTTTCCGAGAAATTCTACTGGGGAATTAAAAATGATCCACGCTGTATAAAGGGTGTCCCAGAAATGTTGTAACACCTTGAATATTTCTCCCTCGAAATTGAGCAACTTTTGTTCGAAATATTTTTCGCTTTGTCTTATAGTTTAGGAGAAATTCTACTGTGGAATTTCAAATGGTCCACCCTGTATACAGGGTGTCCCAGAGATGTTGTAACACCTTAAGAGGGGTGGTTCGGGATTTGATTTGAAACAACTTTTTCCTTAGGTAAAATGTTGTCCGAGGCTTCGTTGAGGAGATATTAACGGATAATGCCGGACCAGTCAGAGCGCAAGTAGCCCGCGGTAGGCGTAGGCTACGCGCTAGACGACCGCCTTTCGCCGGCATCCTCGCGCACTGATTGGTCCAGGGTTTTCTCTAAATATCTCCTCAACGAAGCCTCGGACAACATTTTCGCTAAGGAAAAAGTTGTTTCAAAACACCTCCCGAACCACCCCTTTTAAGGTGTTACAATATTTTTGGGATACCCTGTATATACACGGTGGATGTGATTTGAAACAACTTTTTCCTTAGCAAAAATGTTGTTCGAGGCTTTGTTAAGGAGATATTAACAGAAAACCTCGGACCAATCAAACGGCGGAGGACGGTGGCCTAGCGCGTAGTCCACGCCTACCGCGGGCGCTCTACCGCCATATCGCGCTCTGATTGGTCCGGGGTTTTCTGTTAATATCTCCTTAACGAAGCCTTCGACAACATTTTCGTTAAGGAAAAAGTTGTTTCAAATCACCTCCCGAACCACCCCTTTCAATGTGTTACAATATTTTTGGGACACCCTGTATATTATAAAGAGTATTACAACGTACATTTTATAATGTTGAAATGAAGCAGAAAAACAATAAAAATAATAAAAACTAAACTTTTATACCCAAAACTAATTTAATAAGAAAAAGGAAAGAATTCTAACGTGTATACAATAATATTTTAAACATCATGTACTTGCTATTTTAAAAATGTTCATGACGATACAATTTTAGCAAAAATTTTAACAAAACATTTAAATTTACGCGTAGATAGAAAGAATCGTGGCGCAAATCTTGATAACTCACTTCCTGCTGTGCTAGTTTTTTTCGGCTTAGGACGGGGCTTTCAAATTGCACCGGTCGAAATTCTTTTCTCTCTGGAACAGGACTGGCTCCGGCGCTGGAAGGTGTCCAAACGGGAGGGATTCCGTCGTCCTTTTGAGACTCTTTTCGATGAGGACTTGGCTCCTTGGGGTCTGGCGGTGGCTCACTTCCAGGTGACCAAATGCCTAACAATAAGAATTCACGTTGTTAACAGAGTTACTGAAAACAAATATGTCAATCAGACAATGGTAAATAAACATTTGAAATCCTTTATGGCTTTCAGGCTCTAGACTGAATAATTTTAAATAGTTCTGATACAAACAGTATCTTTTTATACAATTTTATGCATTTAAAATATTTTATATAAATTATATATTCTTGATATATTATACATTTTATATATTTTATATGTTTTATATATTTTACAGTTTGAATTTATTGTATATATCATCCAGCCAACTGTAGATTGAATGATTTGAAGTAGTTCTGCTACAAACAGAATCTTTTTATACAATTTTATACATTTAAAACATTTTACATAAATTATATATTCTTGATATATTATACATTTTATATATTTTATATGTTTTATATACCTTATAGATTGTATTTATTGTGTAAATCTTTATTATATATTCTTGATATATTACACATTTTATATATTTTATATGTTTCAACTCCAAACAACTTCAACAAAAGAAAATACAAAAAACAAAAAAAAAATCGAAACTCGAAGAAATTAAGCTCACATGCATTTTGCGCACTCCATTCAGTAGCATGACTCATAGATTTCATGCTTCGAAGGAACCGAATACAAAACACATAAAATAAATTCTTTCCAAAATAGCAAAAATAAATTCTTTCCAAATTCATTTCATCTATCTAAGTTACATCATATCAACTATCAACATTCCAAGAATTACTGGTTTAGGTTACATTTTATTATTACATCCCACATCGTAAATAACATTCGTTCGTTTGAATTAATAAATGATCGAACCAAATGATGGGTTCGGGTTTCGGGTAAACAACGTTTGACTCGAGTTCAAGAAAGTTGCGTTAGGGTCTTTGCTCCGCAGCATGTGCACGGTGGAAGTTGTGGCTGGGTTGGTGTGAGTACAGTGAGAACGAGCCAAAATCAACATTCGAGATCTGTAGGAGACTTGCTAATCTTGGCCACGGAAGCATATTACATAAAGAATCGTGACTCCCTCGCCGATTTCTCGGTCCATTACGTCAAACGATCTTGGAAAAGGGTTTACTTGTGTATCGTTTGACAGACATAGGTTACAGTGAGGAATAACTGGATGGAGGTTATTAAGACAGAAGAACAAAATTTCACCAGATAATGCAAGAAATAATCCACAAGAGACAGTAACGTTGCCTTGTAATATGTGTGTGGACGCATTAAAACCATAATAGTAGTTTTATTAGTGCGACACATATTTTTTACCTATTACAACAAGAAGAGGAGCATATAACATCATCAATAAAAGAGTAAGTAAAATCCGTAAGTAAAAACAGTTAAAAGTAGATAGTGTTTACCATTATTTGATAAGTAGTTGTGTGCGCTTAAAGTATATGTACTATCGTTGTAAATTCTTGTGCATTTTCCGTTTCCGCCGTCTTTGATTGATATAAGCAGCGACAGTCATTCCAATAAGAGGAAACGAAGGGATGAATTGCTTGTTTCATGAAGCAAATAATTTGCTGATGAAGCAACAGTATTTTGGTGCTCTCCAGAAATAGGAGTTGCTGCTGTGAAATTCTAGTATTTTATCTGAGCGAAGGATACCTGGTGGTAATTATTTAAATAACACAAGAAGAATCGTACAAGTATTACAGGAAATACGATCAAGGTTGACAGATATATTGAAATTGGCAAGGTTAAAGTGTACTACGACCTGACACAGTGTACACTGGAAGTAACGAGTATTCTCAATTCATATAATATTCTCAATTGTATTTTTGTTTGTTTATAATGAAAGGTTATTAACATAACTTGTTATATTTATTACACCCGCATATATCTGATACTGACCCCTGAGTAATTGGAATCAATTTTAAATTTGAGACATCTCGTAGTTGGCAGCGAATGGGTTAAGGATGAAAACACCACTTCGAACAATTCTGGTTATTTATATTGACCCTACCTTAATTATTGCTCGAACCTCGTGCAGTAATCGAGGTAACTATAATGGAAACCCTACTGTATTCAATTGGATAGTTATTTCAGGAAGCTTCTTTTTATTTTATATTAATACAGATTGGTTGTTATTGTTGAACAAATAATAGATCCAATTTCGTTCATCTTTCATTTTTATTGCTTGTCAAGTTCGTCTTAACAAACTATAAGTAACATCTAATAAAACTTGTTACGTTGGTATTCGATAGAACTCAATTGTACAAACTGCCAAAGAAGAATTTACTAGAAACATTTATTTCAGCTTTTTATATCTTTTATTAATTATTCAGGAACCAATATAGTAAATTGAATTTTGTATAGTTTAGTGAGAAGAGATATATTAGAATTTTGTTGAACGTTAGGTACCAAAAAAGTATTATATTTTTCTGTATGATAGTTTTCGAAAGAAAATATGAAAATACACTTAAAAATTTCATCAGTAATGATCTAATCTTCAAACTGATGTCATAATAGTGACTATATTTAGTATCTATTAGTGACTATATTTAGTATTTAGTTTCTAAAAGAAGGTAAGAAAATACACTTAGAAATTTCATCAGTGATGCTCTAATTTTCAAATTGATATCATAATAGTGACTACATTTGAAACAAACTTTCAAATTTCAGGTATTAATAAAGTTAATAGTGCCTTAAGCATACATAATACAACTTTTGACTCTCTCGATTGACCAAACTATTTGTGAATAATTATCCAAGATCGTTACATGATATATTTATGTACATTTGATACAACAGTGTTTATAGTTTCGATTCAACAAAACGTGCACAGCGAAATTCATGTAAATTAAAGCAAGCATTAAGTTAAAAAGGAAATACACCAACCAACCATTCTGGATAAATGAACATAAATGCTGTTACCCTCTTCTTTTTTCTCTGCTCTTGCGTATTTTCATCGTGTTCGATTTAGCAAGATGGGCGCATAAATAACAATGTAAAAATAGAATTTATGTTGGCAGCATAAATAGTTCCGTTTCTTTCCGGACTCCGTAGGTTCTAAGAAGTTAAACTCGAGACAGCTGAATCGTCTGTTATGAATCATCAAATTGATTATACAAGCATTGACAATAACTGTTACATCTTCTGTAAAAAGAACACCGTATGTATAACCTAACAATTTGAACATTGAATTTGCAATAAAATTTGTTCTTTTTCTTATAATAATTTTTGTTTGATATCTTTTTTTTATTAGCAATAAAAATTTGCAATAAAATTTGTTCTTTTCCTTCTAATAATTTTAGTTTGATTTTTTTTTTATTAGTGGGTAGACAAATTTTCTGTTATTTATTATATAGGGAACGATTTTAATAAAAAAATCCTTGCAATATTAATGGATACCAAAAAGAGTCTTTTATTTGTAAAAAAAATATTGCGAAATAAAGTAATATTCATTCAATAGTTTTTTATTTTTTACAAAAGTAAGTTTGAAATTGAAAGAAAGAAAATAAAATGTATCGTATTTAAATTAAATGTATTTAATGGATTTAACTTTTATGTATCTTCAATTTAATTTTAGAATTTGATATTAAAGAATTTTTGAATAAATTGAAATTTGAAAAGTGTATTAGGTGCGTTCGAGTCTAAATTGAACTGAACACTATTATTAGTGTAGGCATCCATCTGTTTGTATTCGCATTATAAACGTGAAGTATGTTCTTAGCCTATGAGTCAACGAGCTAATTTGAAACAAAATTAATAGGCTGTTCAAAACCACTAAATGGATTATCTCTACCATACTGTTTATTAAACGTACTGACGTCTTTCTAAAAGGAAGGAAGACTGTAACATATGTAAAAATAGACAAAATTTCACTGGAGTAATAGATTAAATAAAGAAATCAAAAAGTCTAATGTCACGATATTTATCCTGAATACTGTATACATGATAAAATAATTGATTAAATGATTAATCATGAGTATCCTGTTGAGTTCCTGTTCCTTCGAGATGAATTCTATCATTTTATAACACAAATTCTAATTTCTGTTTAATTATCAACGGATAACAAATTGCTTATCTTCTATCTCTTGTTTATCGATTAAATAAATAAGAATAAGAATAAATAAGAATTTTTGCTCATACTTGCGTGAAAATAGGAGTACCGATTACCTGATGCAATTTATAATTTAGGGAAGTAACCTCGAGCTATCAGTTTGTTTTGATTCGACTTCATAGTCAAACTATTTTCAGCAACATTCATCAAACCGACGGAATTTTGTATAGTTTAGTGAGAAGAGTACTTCTTGTGCCTCCATAATTAATATATGCTGGTCTAAAGTATTTTAACATACGTTTACAATGAAAATCTGGATCCTATGATCTTACTTCATAATGTACAAAAATTTTCCAAAATGATCTTTTATGAAATCAAAACAAAATTTTTATTTTCTATTTTAATCTGATGTGGATACGATTATTCATTTAACAAAATGAGCGTTGGTCCCAGAAGAATTAAAGAATATATACATAGGTATATTGTGCATACAGGGTGTCCCAGAAATAATCCAAAAAAAATGTCGGACGATACTTCGTTTTTCGTTAATAATTAAAAATCGAAGCACCATCCGACATTTTTGAAAAGGACATTGTCGTTCAGAATGGTCTCAGCTACCGACCATTTTCGTGTCAGACTATTTCTGGGACACCCTATATATAAATATATACAGGGTGTCCCAAAAATTTTGGAAGTCCTTGAAAGGGGTGATTCGGGAGGTTATTTGAAACAACTTTTTCCTTAGCGAAAATGTTGTGCGACGCTTCGTTAAGTAGTTAGTAACGAAAAAGCACCGACCAATCAAAGCGCGCGGATGCCAGTGGAGCGCTCGCTGACTGGTCGGGGTTTTCTGTTAATAACTCGTTAACGAAGCCTCGGACAACAATTACGCTAAGGAAAAAGTTGTTTCAAATCACCCCCCGAACCACCCCTTTCAATGTGTTACAACATTTTTAGGACACCCTGTATATACAGGGTGGACGTAATTTGAAACAACTTTTTCCTTAGCGAAAATGTTGTTCGAGGCTTCGTTAAGGAGTTAGTAACGAAAAACCACCAACCAATCAGAGCGCGAGGATGCCAGTGGAGCGCTCGCGGTAGGCGTGCGCTACGCGCTAGGCCACCGCCCACCGCCGGTATACGCGCGCTCTGATTGGTCGCGGTTTTTTATTAATAACTCCTTAACGAAGCCTCGGACAACATTTTCGCTAAGGAAAAAGTTGTTTCAAATCACCGTCCGAACCACTCCTTTCAAGGACTTCCAATATTTTTGGGACACCCCGTATATTGAAGAGTTAGATGTAATGTACAAATATTAAATGTGATATTATGTAATATACAATTACAGAATACATAGATATACATATACATATACATGGTGTCCCACGCAACTGGTACACGCTTTATCTTCTAAACAATTGCGATATAACTCCTAAACGGTTGAGAATAGAAAAAAAATGTTATAAGTGAAAGTTAAATGGTTTCTTATGGTGCATAACATCACTTTCACTTATAACATTTTTATCTATTCCCAACCGTTTAGGAGTTATATCCTGTCCCAATTGCGTGGGACACCCTGTATATCAACAAACATAGGTAAAACTTCAATTTTCAAAGCTCAAGGTCATTTCAAGGTCATGTTATACATATCTGAACGTATTTCTCCATCAGTTACACAATGCAATACAAAAAAATTGTAGTTATCTATCACAAAAACATCGATGACCTTGATAACTCCTAAAAAAATAACCTTTTGGAAAAAAATATTGTTTTGTGATATAATAGTTCCTTAAAACCATTCCAAATAGTACACAAAATATTTTTTGTACTCCCACAATTGGAGGAGATATTTAGATGGCCTCATTTAAACGGACCACCCTGTATATTCTTTAATCCTCCTAGGACTAACGATCACTATGGCAAAAATAAATCGAAAATACTATCGAAAGTTTCTCAGTTTCCCTCGAGCCTTCGTAAACTCTGTAGACATAACTCTGCCACTATACTAATCCAACAGGCAAAAATAAAATTAGAATTTCGGTGGGCGTCGATATTAAGCCACGTCTAATTGTAATTGGAGAACGGATATTAAAACACAATGGAGGCCTAGTTTTCTGGAGCAGGCTGTTGCAAACGATGCCAATTTTCGTTTCAATTAGTACAATACTAAAATACTTCGCGAAGTAAGGTAACATTAATAGCCGTAACATTGAACGTATCTTCCTTATCTTCATGCTGAGCCTTGTTAGAAAGATTCGAGGAAGAGATATTCTCGATACGGATACCTTTATTATCGAGAGAGGAAATTATTTTCTATTGTTATTCCTTTGCTTTCATTCCGCTTAATTATGAAACAGTTTTCGCGATCTCTGACAATTTTGCTGTAGTGATACTGTTGTTTGAATATCCTCCCAATGGGAGGGAAATAATAAAATAATAAAAATAATAAAATAATAAAATAGTTAAGAATTTATTATTATAGCATCTGTAGGCATTAGAGTGTACTTTTAACTTTCAAGGAAATAATCTTTGTAAAACAAAATAGAAATAACACAATTATGATTAAATTCTATTTATACGTTAACTTTTTTGTTAACATTGATTTGAAAAAAATGGAAGGGTTTTTTTGACGCAGGAACACAAATAGGAAAGATATCTATTCCAAAATTCTATTGCAATGAATAAATAGTTTTTCTTAGTTTTTCTAACATTCGTTAGAATGTTAGGGGTCAGTAGTTTGACCCCTTTTTCTTGTAAATAAGTGTAATTTGACACCACAGAGAAAGTGTGAAGCTTTACTGAAAGGATTTTCCAAAAGAGATTTTTTACTTATATTTTTGAATGAGACACAAGTGGTGTAGATTATATCTGATTTTTTAAATTTAAAGTATAAACAATTAATATTAAACGTGAAAGAAAACGTCGTTTAAGTGTTCACCACTACTATATTAAACATTTTGGAAAAGCTTTCACTTTTTATTTGAATCTGTTAATATTTAGTCAATCTTTATTTTTATTTTTATTTTAGTCAAATATTTTGTCAATTTTTATTTTAGTCAAATATTTAGTCAATTTTTATTTTAGTCAAATATTTAGTCAATTTTTATTTTTATTTTAGTCAAATATTTTGTCAATTTTTATTTTAGTCAAATATTTATTCAATTTTTATTTTTATTTTAGTCAAATATTAAGTCCAATTTTTATTTTTATTTTAGTCAAATATTTAGTCAATTTTAAATGTACTAGTCAACATCTAATGCAAAGTAATTAATAAAAATTGTATCCAAGAAGCAAAAGCTAGAGTAAACAAATATTGATCTAATTTTCACATAATTGTTACACATTTTTTATAATTTGTTTCTTTTTTAATGAATTTGTATAATCTTTTTCTGCAACAATTATAATTAATAAACATAAGCATGCATACTTGAGCGCATAAGCACCTAACAGCCGTGTGACATGTTATAATTAACAAAATTTGTTAAAATTGATAAATTTATTAATCTATCACATTATCAAAATTTATGTTCATTTGCAGCACAAGTCAAATTTCGAAATTTCATGTGGATTATTGAAATAAAAAATAAAATGCAACAGAGTTGTCATACTTGTGAATAATTTATTAGAAAAAGCAAAGAGTCCTATGTTAAATGTAAATTCAATACTTTTCCAAGTAAAAAGATAAATAAATTGCTGGTATTAGAAGTAATTTGTTCTTACGTAAAATTGTATACTACATCATTCTGTGTTAATGCAGCCTAGTGTAAATATATAAAAATAGACTTCTTTGGGAATTAAAAAAAAGAAAAAGTATAAATCGTACAATCTTAAATGATTTTGTATTTAACAACACATAGTTTAAAAGGCACAAAAATATTTGTTTTTTTACTTTGAAATATGTATTGTTAAATACAAAATTATTTGTTATTATGCAACTTAAAATTTGTCTTTTTTTAATTCCCCCAAAAATCTCTCTTTTTAGTTTGCTCTAGAATGTAAAACAATATTTTTTATATCAATATTTCTCAGCTTTTATTTTATACAGTTTATCAGTTTGGCTTCCCAGAGGTTAAATTTGTAATTTGTAATTAACATAAAATTCTTTACTTATTCGCTCGTTATCAATAAATAAATCAATAATTCTTTCGCATAGAATTTATTCTACGTATTTAGAATTTTGTCCACATGAAAACGTTCAAGTAGACATAAATTACTTTCATAACCACCAAAATTTATTTTTTGACTTGTTCTTTATTATTCATCAGAACAAAACAAACAAATCCATTTATTTTGTTTAAAATATTATTTTAGAAGGCATTAGAAGAAAACTGAATTTAAAAGACATTTATTTACATCTACTTGAAACAGATAATTAATTATTAAAATACGAATTCAATATTTCCTGAAATCCGGATTACGTTGAAACTTTAACGAACTTTGACCCATTTAGCCACGAATGGCGACGGAATTTCATTAAATTCAAATAAGTAGTATTTACAGGAAATTTCCACTCCTTATTAGTGCACTATGATTCTGACAATATTAAAAATTATTAATACAAGTTTGTCTCGTCGAACGTTATCATTTTCCTTCTGTCATTCTCAAAGAAACGTACAATCAACAATGGTACAAATCATTCTGTTAGTTTTCACACGTTTCGTTTGCAACTTTACCTGGTGTCGCGGACGAAGCTTTAAACGTGGGAGCGAACATAACGTTCTCTGAAAACATCAAACAGGATTTTAAGAATCCAGTCAGTTTTTCTTCGTGTCTGTTGAAAGTGTCCAATTAATGATAGCGATTGCTACTCTACGCAAAATGATAATAATAGCAACGATAAACAGAAACAATTAAAATTATTTCAACTATTCAAATTCCAAAGAAACTAATAAACAACACACATGTATCTTGTTGTATAGTGTGAATTAGTGTAGTTCAACAAGTTGTCCTGCTTTCATTTACAATTTAACAATTATGTGTCGACGAAAGTAATGCTAGATACATACAGGGTGTACAGAACTCCTGTAAGAGCTGGAAATTGAAGGAACAATTTCAAGGAAAATTTCAAAATTTATGGAATTTTCTAGATATTATATACAAGGTGTCTCAGAATTAGTGTATAAATTATTTAAACTATTCAAATTCCAAAGAAACTAATAAACACCAGACATGTATCGTATTAATTAGTGTAGTTCAACAAATTGTCCTGCTTTCATTTACAATTTAATAATTATGTGTCGACGAAAGTAATGCTAGATACATACAGTGTCTCTGAACTCCTGTAGGAGCCAGAAATTGAAGGAATAATTTCAAGGAAAATCTCAAAATTTATGGAATTTTCTAGATATTATATACAAGGTGTCTCAGAATTAGTATAAGAAGCAAAAATGGGTTCTGAAACAACAGCTGAGATTGTATAGTAGCCGAGTAGCTGAGACGATTTTGAACAACAATTTCCTTTGCAAAAATGTCGTACGAGGCTTCGTTTTTGAATTATTAAGAAAAATACCATCGACCAATAACAGCGCTCGAGTAGCGCGCACTCAGCTGCGAGAGGCCAGCTCGAGCCAGGACGCTCGGCCCAGTCGTCGGGCCAGCCTAACGCGCCTGAGCGCGCGCTACTCGAGCGCTGTGATTGGTCGGCGGTTTTTCGTTAATAATTCAAAAACGAAGCGCCACCCGATATTTTTGCTAAGGAAAAAGTTGTTTCAAATCACCTCCCAAATCACCTCTTTCAAGGTGTTACAACATTTTTGGGGCACCCTGTATATACAGAGCTGCGGTGATTTGAAACAACTTTTTCCTTAGCGAAAATGTTGTTCGAGGCTTCGTTACGGAGTTATTAACAGAAAACCCCGGACCAATCAGAGCGCGAGTATGGCAATGGAGCGCCCGCTGATTGGTCCGGGGTTTTCTGTTAATATCTCCTCAACGAAGCCTCGGACAACATTTTCGCTAAGGAAAAAGTTATTTCAAATCACCTCCTGAACCACCTCTTTCAAGGTATTACAACATTTGTGGGACACCCTGTATACAGAGGGTGGAGGTGATTTGAAACAACTTTTTCCTTAGCGAATATGTTGTTCGAGGCTTCGTTACGGAGTTATTAACAGAAAACCCCGGACCAATCAGAGCGCGAGTATGCCAATGGAGCGCCCGCGGTAGGCGTGAACTACGCGCGCTAGGCGACCGCCCTCCACTGACATCCTCGCGCTCTGATTGGTCCGGGGTTTTCTGTTAATAATTCCTTAATGAAGCCTCATACGACATTTTAGCAAAGGAAAAAGTTGTTCAGAATCGTCTCAGCTACACCCCATTTTCGGGTCTTACAACCCACGATTGATTATTTAATTCAATTGCTTTGTGCAATGCAACTATCTAAACTGTCTAGAATGTAATCGCCACAATAATAGATAAAAACGAAAATGTATTCGAAGAAATATTAATGACGCCTCGTCTGTGTTTCAGATCTTATAAATTGTACATTCACAGCAGAAAGTAATTCTCTTACTATTTCGTTAAATAATACGCAATAGGTTCCTGACAGTGTTATGTATACGTAACCTTATCATTCAATCTTAAACCATTTCCTTTGTGTTCATAAGTCATTTTTATTTTAATTTAACATAATTAATTTCCAAATATTTATCAGCTTTTCATAAAAAAAATGTTTCAGGGATTATAAATCCCTGAATAAATTTTGTATTGCACCAAATGCAGATTTCTGTAAATATTTAATAGAAAAATAGAATATACCAATCTTCAAACTTTTACCGGTTTTTGTTAGTACCTATTTTAGCCAAGATTTCGGGGAGAGAAGTTAAATAAAATTAGCGTTAATGCCTGCGTGTTCATCAATCGTTTCGTCTATTTCACATACTCTATTTAAAGGTAATATCCGCATTGACAGGCAACGTGACCTTTGGAATCATGCCACGATTATCTCCTGTCGATAGCGAAAGAAAAACAGAGGGTCTCCGTCAAGCAAACTCTAAAAATAATAAATCCTTAATGCAAAAATATTCTAAATATTCAAGTGATTAGATCTGAATACTTAACTAAAGAATTCTTACTACTGAAAAAGATGTACATCTTAAACGTCTCTCGTATTTTCATACTATTACAATAATAAAGTAGAAACGAGCAAACTTTGATTCCAATGATAGCTGAGGGATAAAAACAATCTATAATAATTTATTCGTGACATTTATTTGGTCGAATTCCTTAATTTATGTTCTTTGATTTAAATCGAAATCTTTATTTAACGAGTAACGAATAAACAGTTAGTTCATTGTCTACAGATTCACACAAAAAAAAAAAATATAGTAATTATACCAAAAAAGAATAAATATTTTTAAAAAGGTATACGAATATTTTACATTTTTTCCCAGTATTTTCGTCATCAAATGTTTACCTCAATTTTTGTATAAATATACTTGGATTATATGTACAATATATATAAAAATTACAAAATTATAAATTACTTTCAAAATTTTTAATTTGTGCATACGTCAGAATGGTTCAATAAGATTGATAATGGAAATAAAACTGAAGAAATAAAACTGATATTTCGCCGAATTGCAAGCGAAACTTATAGAAACAGGTATTAATTCAAATATTACCACAGAAGGTTTGAGGCCGACGGTGGAGCAGTGCGTAGCGTAGAAAACTACCACGCGGATAACCCGGGTTCAAATCCTGGCTGATCCGAAACAGTTTTTTCATGTGCGAATAAAATTTAAAAGCATCGGAAACTTCTGTGGCGTTAAGATAAATAATAAACAAAAAAAATGAGATAATGAGGCAATCAGAGGTGTCTGTAAGAAAAAAGTATCAGAAAAATGCAATACGTATGAGCGAGATGTACAGTAGCTCTGTGTAAACACTATCCCCATAAAAAACTTACGCCAAGTAAAAAAATTACGCCAAGTACATGTAAAAGACTTAAGGAGTATTCACACAAAAATAGAAAAAAGTAGCTCTGTAAACACTATAATAACAAAACAAAAAAAAAACAAACCATAGAAGGGATAAGAATTCTTAAACAAACAAAACTATTCAGCCAAATTTAGACAAACCAAAAATTCATGTAGTTGCTAATAACTGAAAAATAAATAAAAGAAAAATATAATATAATAAAAAAAAGAAAAAATTCTTAGGAATAAAATTTCACTCGTTTCTACTATAATTGATCCGATGTTGGTTTTTCAAGTGTTGGTTATATATATGAAATTTGACAAGCATGTACAGTGTGATAACAGACGATGTTACCCTGTAAAGGGTTAAGGCTGACCGAGACGTTATTCAGCGGTCTTAAATCATGATAAAGGACGTACTAAAGGGTTCTTAAATTGCTTCTTTACGAGACCGGCGCGGGCTATTAATACGGAAGTGAGTTTGATGAGCTTCAAAGGAAAAAAAAGGAAAAAGAGCAGAGAAAAGCAGAAAAGGTCCGAGAACAGGAAGATAAATATCTTTTGAACTGTGGTATTGTACGTTGGATCTCTAAGGACTTTAATCCTTTTTTAACTTTAATGGTTTGTCAATTGCCAAGGGCTTCAAATTAATTTAAATAAAGTGTACTGAATTATAAAGGAGGAACGTTTATAATTGCTTTTTAAATCCTGTTTGTAGAAAAATGTGAATATGCGAATTTTATTGATTATTATTATATTTTATTTAAAATAGAAGAATAATATAAAGAAAGAAAATTGTTTAATTAGTTATGATTTTTAAATACTTATTTAATTTGAACGATGATATGAATAAATTGCTATTTGCAATATGGTCGTTATATATGATTAAATGGATTTGTATATAATATTATATTTTACATAATAATTACTGCATTCTTTTATTCGATTTCATTAAGTGAAATTATTATTATCAAATTATTTACTACATTAAAATGATCAATTATTACAACCAAAATATAACATTATATATATTTCTAATTAAATTATATATTTTTAATAATGTAATACGACATACTTGAAATAAAAATTATTCAGTTAATTTGTTTCTCATCACTAATTGAAATTCTTCACTTAAAAAAAAGATTATTTATCGAAATGATCAATTATTACAACCAAAATATAATATTATATTCATTTCTAATAACATTATATATTTTTAATAATATAATACGACATACTTGAAATAAAAATTATTGAATTAATTTCTTTCTCGCTAATTGAAATTCTTTACTTAAAAAAAGAATTATTAAAAAATTATTCATTTATAGAGCTAATTTTTATCGGGTGAAATATAACGAGAGGTTCGATTAGACTGATAAAACACGTTCGAAATATGTATATTAATCTTGAATCAAAATTTCCGGGCGGAAAATTGTCTGCGAGCGGAAATGAGTAGAAGCTGACAAACGAAAATAGCGTGCAAGTTCTGCCTCGGCATACACGTATATTGCATTTTCGTGCAATCTGTGGAGCGGTAACGCGACACCTTTATGTAATCGAAGACCGGCGATGCACACGCTGTTTTGTGTTTTCATCTGATATTACAGTTTTCGCGACTCGTTGCTAATACTTCGTGTTTCAAATCCTTCGAAATGTCGAACAGCATCGAGTAGTGCAGCGCTTCCACTAAGAGAACGCGTATTTATTTACGTACACGTATAATGAGTCACTGGCCTTCTAATTTGCAACCGTTAAACTTTACTTGAACTATGCTAAATAATTAAATTACCTAATGGTGGTATTCTTGAAGTGATCAATTGAGAAATTGAATAAGTTGTAACGATACAAGTAAAGTTTATAATATTGTGCAGATAATAAAAGAGAATTTTTTTAGTTTCGTTATTATCTGTATATTATCAACATACGTATACTACATATGTATGTGTCATATTTAAAAGTACTATGTAAGTACTATGCCATATGTGTAACTTTTATGTGTAGGATATTATTTGAGGTTTGTTTAAAACGTTTTTAAATTAAGTATGTTATATATATGTAAATTATGACGTTTATATTTATAATAATATATTATATAATCAATGTTATTGATATACGGTATATTTAAAACGTTTTTAAATTCTGTATGTTATATACGTAAATGATAATTGTATAAATGTAATACAGTAATAGTAATAACAATGTATACAAGGGTGTCCCAGAAATGTTGGAAGTCATTGAAAGGGGTGGTTCGGGAGGTGATTTGAAACAACTTTTTCCTTAGCGAAAATGTTGTCCGAGGCTTCGTTAAGAAGATATTAACAGAAAACCCCGGACCAATCAGAGCGCGAGTAGGCCGCGGTAGGCGTAGGCTACGCGCTAGACGACCGCCCTCCGCCGGCATCCTGGCGCTCTGATTGGTCGAGGGTTTTCTGTTAATATCTCCTCAACGAAACCTCGGGCAACATTTTCGCTAAGGAAAAAGTTGTTTCAAATCACCTC